CCGGAAAACATTCCTAAATGTGATTTAACCGGCCGTGAAAGCCTTCATAGTCTGATAGTTGTATATTAGTTGTTTATTGTTGATTATATTATATTTATTGTTGATGTTGACGTAGAGCAATTTTAAGTTAAATGTTCCATGTTAGTAATTGTTTGTTTTAGTTGTTCATAGGGTTCTGTCGGGGAACTACTGCTTGCGTCTTCATTTAAACCAACTTTGGACATCGACTGTGTCCCACACTGGCTACAATCATGTAGGTGTCGGCGGCCAACCATTCATGGATCGATGGCAACTTTCTCAGTTAATTCACATGTTCGATAAAAAGCTGGAAATATTCATTGCAGTAAAACGAACAAAACAAAAGCAAAGTAATCAATATGGAAGCCACATCACCGGAACGGCGTTCGGCATGACCTTGCTGTATATTGAGCTATTAATATGGGCTTTCTTGATTGAACGTTTCATGAACTCTATTTTTATCTGGCTTTATCTGCTGGCATTAAAAGGCAAGTCAACATACAGTAGTGTGCACTCGTTTTATGGCAATTTAATGGCTGCAAATGTTTGATGTTCTTCTAATGGATTTCTGGTTCAGGAGGCCCAGCTGCGCAAGTCACGTGATTTTCACGTCTAATTTGTGCATGTGATATTTTCGTCCGCCTGAACCGTCAAAGTCACGTAATTGATTCAAAATATCTCCCTGATTTAGGAAAATGTGGGTATGTTTTGGAGTACATATACAGGGTGTTAAAGGAATCTCTCAAGTTCCCTCGAAAAATTTGTTTAAGATAATCAATCAAGGGAAATCTTGCCCCTATCGTCGTTTTCTGGCATTAAGTTTTCAGTTTTTTGTTAAAAATAGATTTACATTTTCCAACGCAAAAATTGAAACTGAATGCAACAGTATCTCTTTTGCTTTTCTTTAGTCAAATGTCAATTTTCTCAGAAATCTTCTAATCAGGCGTAACTCTGTTGCAATATTTCGCTTTTTGAGATGATTTT